TTGCTGGTACAACCTTAACCATGTACTAGTATTCTCTGATGCCAATAATTTTTAAAATTTATTCATTTGAGAGAGAGAGAGAGAGAGCATGAGCAGAGGTGGGGGGCGGGGGGGGGAGTGGCACGGGGAGGGGGGTTCTGAGGGAGAGGGAGAAGCAGACTCCCTGCTGAGTGGAGCTCAATGCAGGCTTGATCCCAGGATTCTAGGATCATGGCCTTAGCTGAAGGCAGCGGCTTAACTGACTGCGTTACCCAGGTGCTCCAATGCCAGTAGGTTTGGCTATTTTATACCCTTCTCCCTTCCCCTGCCCCCCCCATTAGTATAAAATACACTATACTTTTGTAAACAAAACATTTTTCTCTTATAAAACCACTTTAAGGTATTTTAAAATATATGTATGTTGAAAGTACTTGAATGTTTTTTCCCCAGAGAATTTCTTTGTAAAAGTGGGTGTATGTTACATGTGTGTGCATCTGCTATGCAGGTAAGTAAGGTGCCAGGGTTTGCAAAGACCTGGGTTAGGGAAAGCAATCTCATGCATGCTGTCTTTTGTCACCCACTTGGTCACATAAGAATGGTTCTTGAACTACTTAGACTACTTTCTTTCTTTCTTTTTTACTTCAACAGATTTATTTGCTGTTATTGTTTTAAAGATTTTATGTATTTATTTGAGAGAGAGAGAGAGAGCGTGTGCGCACAAGCAGGGAGGAGGGGTAGAAGGAGAAGCAAACTCCCTGCTGAGCAGGGAGCCCACCATGGGACTTGATCCCAGGACCCAAGGATCATGACCTGAGCCGAAGGCAGATGCTTAACCCACTGAACCACCCAGATGCCCCAGATTTATTTTTTTTTTAAAGAATGGAATTTAAGGAGAAAAAAAACCATGGGGCAGAGGATGGAATAGAAAATCAATACAAATGTAAGCTGTTTTGCTAATTGCATAACCATAACAAATTCATACAGAGAATGCCCTGCACAAAACAACTCAGTAAAGGCTCAGAGATGGAGGTGCTTCCTGAGGCAAGGCTGAAGATTTCAGTCTCTGGTATTTGGAATTTGGACTGCAGTGCTTGTATTCAGATGGATCATTGGGTGTATGACATGGTTCATGCTCTTAACTAGAATTGAGTAAAAGAATGGACACTTGGGCCGGGTAGAAGTAGATGAAGTGTTTGGCTTCATGTGTCACATCACCACCAAAGTTCCTTCCCATGATGCCGAACCAGGTGGGGTTGTACTTCTTGTCGAACTCCTTCTTCATATGGGCCGCAGTGTCCCTCCCTGTTGTATTTCTCCAACACCAAGCCCTGTTGCATCTTCTTTGACATAATTGGTTTTGATCACAGCCTTTTGGTTGCAGATGGTTACTAAGGAGCAGGGGGTGGACTGCTGGTAAATGTATCCTGGAGGAGGGGCTGGCGATGCTCAGATCCAGAGGAAGCTGCCATAGCTACTGAAGCACATCAGTACTTGTGGCACATTTGGGCTTAAAATCCTTTTTTTTTTTTTTTTTTTTTTTTACCAAGAGATAAGGATTCCACTCAACCTATGCCAGCTTTAGTACCTTTTTCATGCTTATTGAATATTCTTTTGTCTCTGCTTAAAGAATGTGGGTCATATACCTCCTGGCCAACTCCACTGTCATATTGTGACTGAACTAACCTGAGTTTGCTCCTTGGTGAGTTACAGATAGAGATTACAGAGGAAACTTCATTTGCAACAATTAAGAAGATCCTGAGGAATAACTTCCAAAGCTGTGGCTCCCTGAATGAGGGTGAGTGGGTTTCTTTTATTTAGGGTTAGGAGGAATATTCAGAGAGGGGAGCTTTGTCATTGCATGTAGAGGTTGTGTATCCACACTTAGGAAATCTGCCTATACATGTATAGTGTGTTATGCTAATGAGGGTTGTACTCCTCCTTGGTCAGAAACTTTAACATTATAATTGAAGCAGAGGTAACTCTCAGGCAAGAGGAAGGGGCTATGGGTAGTCTTCAAGAATGGTACAAACCGATTGAGGTCTTGGACCTCTTACAGGTTAGGAATGCAGGGCCCCTTGCTTACTTTGGAAACAGCACTGGGAGTTTCTACCACTAATTTGTTGTCTCTGATATGGTTAGGCTCTTTCCTGGCCTGGTAGCATCTGTTAATCTTTTACATTCCCTTTGCTCCCTTAAAATCCTTAACTACTGAGGCTTTTGTAACTCTGACACCTCCTAGCAGGTTCTATAAGAAGTGTGTTTGGTCAAGTGGAGCTGTTAGGGTGTAGATCACAGAAAATAGCTGGAGGCCTAAAATGACTTCTCTTGTGTCCAAAAGCTGTGCCTTGTCTTTCTTTTTCTGGAGACTTCTAACTCTTTCTACTTTCAATATCTGTTCTCTGTGGGGAGGGGACAGGATCTTTGTACTGTGCACAGATGGGTGTACTTAGGCAGATTGCCCTATGCTGTCCTCAGGGAGAGCCTTTTGGCCATGGGGAACTGAGCCCAGTATTGTAGCTGATCTTATGCTGTCTATTCCCTTTGTAAGTAAAGCACTGTTCCATCCAGTGCTTGACTGAATTGTTTTCTTCTTGATGACTCTCTTACCAAGATGCAGTGGGCAAAAGCTTTTAGAGTCTTCCCCTGAGATTTGTAACCATGGCATGGTTATCTGCTCAATAATCTGAGACTGAATTGGGTGATTTATCTGAGGTTAGCTTGCTGGTATGGCTTGAATGTTTGTGCCCCCCACCCTCGTATGTTGAAATACTAATCTCTAGTATTTGGAGGTTGGACCCTTAGGAGACAATTAGATTTAGATAATGACTTGAGGTGGGGGAAGATTGGATTTGTGCTCTTATAAGAAAAGGAAGAGACCAGAGCACCACCTCCCTCTCTGCTACGCGAGAATAGCAAGAAGGCCAGGAAGAGAGCCCTCGAGAAATGAATCTTCTGGTACCTTGACTTGGATTTACCATCCTCTAGAACCATGAGAGATAAGTGTTGTTTAAGCTACCCAGTCTCTAGTATTTTATAAAATACTAGAGTATTTTGTAAATTCTCTCTCTGTTCTGCTCCCCTCTGTTCTGATGTCTGGAGTGTGTGTGTGTGTATGTGTGTGTGTGTCTGTGTGTATTGACAAAAATAAAATCATATGCCATTTTTTAAAGAAGATGCATTAGAGCCACTGATTTATTTAATTTAATCAGGTCCAAAGGGAAACAAGTGGGACAGAGAGACTTGAGGCTCTTCCTCCTAACAAAGGACTGAAGGAATTTTCTATGGCATTTATAGATACGAGCTTGAATACAGTTTCCCATGACAACCAATTAGTATGTGTGAGATTAATGGTTACATTCCACAGGAGATACTGTTAAAGTTTTGAAGTCTTGATATCTTGAGGGGACATATTACAAATAATTTAGCAAGGACACATTTCTTTTGGTTACAAAATACTAAGTAGCATGGTTACAAGATATGGAACAGATATAAATCGACCCCAGGGCCTACTTCCAACGGATGGTTTAGGATTCCTCTCCTTGTGAATGTTCTCAGCCTTTATTTTGTCTAAGAAGTTCTTCTAATGGTTATACGACCGGCATCTTGTTTCTGCAGCTGCTCCTGTAACAAACTACCACTGATCTTAACAACTGTTGGTAAAACGGTCCAGAGATCCAAGTGAGTTGCAGGAATCCAGAAAGTTCTTGTCCTCATTATTTATCTAAATTGTTTTTGTAACCTTGAACATGTCAACTAATTCCCCATTCTTTTTTTTTTTAAGGTTTTATTTATTTATTCATGAAAGACACACAGAGAGAGGCAGAGACACAGGCAGAGGGAGAAGCAGGCACCCTGCAGGGAGTCTGATGTGGGACTCAATCCTGGGACCCAAGATCACGCCCTGAGCCTAAAGAAGATGCTCAACCACTGAGTCACCCAGGTGCTCCTTTCCCCAATTTCGACTCCACTCCAGTCAGACCAAGTTACTCACTGCTTTGTATATGCATTTGTCACCTGGGGTCACCGTGTCTTCCCTTTTTGTAATGTTTCCTGCTCTCCTTTCCTATCTGCAGCCTTCCCATTCTGTAAAGGCAGTGTGGTTGCCCCAACCTCACCCCCTCCAGGGGTGACTTCTTCTTGAGTCCTAATTCTTTCTTTCTTTTTGTTTTTTTAAATTTTTTTTTAAATTTTTATTTTTATGATAGTCAGAGAGAGAGAGAGAGAGAGAGAGAGAGGCAGAGACATAGGCAGAGGGAGAAGCAGGCTCCATGCACCGGGAGCCCAATGTGGGATTCGATCCCAGGTCTCCAGGATCGCGCCCTGGGCCAAAGGCAGGCGCCAAACCGCTGCGCCACCCAGGGATCCCTAATTCTTTCTTTCTTCCATCCTCTTCCCATCTTTGTTTTGTCTCAAGGATGGGTTGGAAGATCCACTATAGGTGCAACTCTATTTTGTATTTCTTTGCATCTCCTCAATTTCTAAATATGGCAAGCCTATGTATGATTTGTTAGTAGGTGTTGTGGATAGACTACTTGGTTCTGTCCTCTGGTATTAAAAATAATGTTTAATATTTACCTCATGGGACTATTTCAGCCAAGCCCTATAAGATTACTAAAGGGTGACCAAAAGACAAAACAAATTAGCCTTTTAAATGGCTATCTCTGGTGAAATTAATGTGAAACTTAAATTTTGAAATGCTCAATATAAAAAAGGCCAAAAATTGCATACATTTATTAGTAGCATGAATTTCTTCTTTAGCATAGTGTCTTTAAGCAGAGAAGAAATGAAAAATTGCTAACACAATGTAATTTTTAGTGCAATTAAAAAAGTAGAAACTGTAGCCCTTTGACGGTCTAGTTCTATTCTGGCTGGGAATTGTTAACTTAAATCTGAACTTCCCTTAAGCTGTTTGCTTATGTATGCAAGTATTTCTTCATGAATTTACCATTTCTTAAATATATTATTTTGTTCACTCAATAGTTTTGCATTCACTGAAGGCTAAAACAGACCACAACAACTAAACAAATTAATAAAATGATGACTCTACAGGAAATAAGTGGGAGACTCAGATATCATAAGTCAAGCACAGTGTGTTCCAGAAGAAATGCCTGAAGGTAAGCACAAAGCCCTGGAGGTAGAAGAGCTTCAGAAATGGAAAGGAGACCAGTGTGATGGTCATGGTTGGGGGCGTGGGGGGGGCAGGAATAAAAAGAGACGTTGTTAGGGAGGGGGCCAGAGGCCAGATCAAGCAAGTCCTAATAGGTTATAAGAGGAGTTTTATTTAATGGGTGATGAAAAACCTGTGAAAGGTCTGAGGGAGAGCCATAATATGATCTGATTACATTTTTGAAAGGATCTCTCAGCCTATTGTAGGACGAATAAATTAGAGGGGTCAAGAGCAAAAGGAAAAAGGCCAGTCAAGAAATTGGTGCCCTAGTGGCTTTGGCCAGAGTGGCAGCAGTGGAGATGGAAAGGGCTGTATGCTTTTGAGATAAATTTGGAATTAGAACCTACAGAAATTTGTAATGGATAGGAAGGGGATGGCAAGGGTAAGGGATGAATCAAAGATGGATCCCATGACTCTTCATCTAAATGCATTCTTTCTCTATAGGTTATTTTTGCTTTTACTAAAAACTTAAGTCTTTCAGATCTTAAGGAAAAAATAACAAAAGGAATGTTGGAAAAAAAATGCCTTCATGGCTTTAAAAAATACTGTGAATTTCTTGCTTAGAATTCTGAGTGCTTGGTCTTTCAGTGGCTTTTGGCCAAAGGCAATAAAATTGTAACATGCACATTGGGTGCATAGCTGGCCAGATTGTGGCATCATTTAGAAAAGTATATTGAAAAATGTTTCTGTCTCTTGAACCACTTCCGATTGTAATATAAATTCTCCCAATCCAACTAATTTTATATGCACAGAAAATAGTACAACTCCACGGGAAATATAAATTTTTCATTGACTAGCAGCCTGTAACTGCTTTAAGTGTAATTACACATTTTTCATTTAAGATCAATTTCACAAAATCGTTTTTATGACCTAAGGCTGCCTTCTTAATAATTGGGTGCAGCTAATTTATTAGGGTTTGCATGTGTTGGTATTGGTGTCATTCTTGCCTGAGTTTAATAGAAACAGTCTCCATGTGGATATGGAAAAGACTCTCTGGTTTCATATTTATTTCCCTTCTGCTGATCCAGTGAACCCTCTTTTGTTTCTCAGCATATACAGTTCTGTAGAAAGCCCACGATAACCTGTTCTTAAAACAGCTCAGTAGACAAATGAGGATATTTTCCATTTAATGCTAGGGAAGATGCCCCCTCAGAACATAATTAAATCTGATCTTTCTCACTTGAAGCAGCATGAATAATTCATGGAGTTTAGGCATAATCAGGTTCTAGGCTTTGGGAAATTTTCAGTTGATGTGCAAAGGTTAATTTTTTTTTTTCGTTAAAGGAAAAGATCCTATGGAGCTGTCTTCTATGCTATGCTATTAAGATTCTTTGAATCTTAATTCAAGTGCTATGGAGCTTCCAGTAAAGGAATGTGTTGTTGGGGGCGTGTCATTTTATGCAGAGGAAGTGAACTTGTGTACACACATAATTCAGTATACTTATTTTAACCTGCATCTCTTCTCTTATATAAATATGAACAAGAGTCCTGATTTCACTGAATGGGAGAAGTCTAGAATTAAGGGGTACATCCCAAAACTCGGGCTCTTTGCCATATGGATCATTAGGAGGAACTTGGCACTTGGGGTTTTGTTCTCTGGCTTTGTTCTGAGTTAGGAGTCCTAGAGAAGTAGCCAAAAGGTCGCCTAAGGGAGCTCTGTGTGGACTCAGACCCCATCATCTCCATTCCCTTCAGTAGGAATAATCTGGAATTTTAAATATTCTTTTTTTTTTATGATAGTCATACAGAGAGAGAGAGAGAGAGAGAAGCAGGCTCCATGCACCGGGAGCCCGACGTGGGATTCGATCCCGGGTCTCCAGGATCGCGCCCCGGGCCAAAGGCAGGCACCAAACCGCTGCGCCACCCAGGGATCCCTTAAATATTCTTTCTATGAGAAATATAGGTCTTCCCCTTTTCTCAAGCATGCCAACAGGGTATCATTGTAGATGCTAAGTGTAAAAATGATGATACATGATTACTGCATTCAAAAGGTTCTTGCAATGGTATTAGGAGATAAGATACACATGAGAAGCTAACCAGCAGGATGGTAGTGTGTAATGAGCAGCACCAATAGCAAAGCTGATGCTCCTGCCAGGAAAAGATCACTTTATATTGGTTGTCATGTAAGGGAAGGCCTGTGGCAATGGCACTTGGGATAGATTTTGAGAGATTTAGGGAATTTTGATGTGTGGCAAGAAAAGGAAAGGGAATTTTAAGAGGCTCATCATAGAATAGGACACAGTTTGTTAGGTAATAGTGGGGATGAGTACAAGAGGTTTGTATGAGTTTGGGGCCAGGTTATGGAGGCCTTAACACTGGAGTGAGGCTTTTGGGTAGAAGACAATGAGGAGCCTTTGAAGGCTACTAGGTAGGGAGAACACATGATTCAACTAGCATTTTAAAATCAAAGTTAGTAGCATAGTTTACATTTAGTTGGTGAAGGAAGAACTCCTGGTAGGGATCTAAGGTTGTAGGCCATCACACTTATCCATAGTGTAAATTAGATGACCAGTGCATGTAGGGAAAGTTGATGGTCTTTTTTCCTTATGAATTCTCATATACTCCAATTTCTGAACCTTTGAAATGAGGAGCCACTGAGTAGCAGATGTATGATCCTGGATACATTTCTCCTGAGATGTAAGTGGCAAGATAGCATTTGTGGCAAAAAATTTGGAGAATATTATTTTAGGCTTGAGCCTAATTGCCCTGTGATTCTGTGCTTACTGCTGTGATATATATAATGGAACTGGTCTCTTGGTGCCTATATAGTCCAATGAGACCTCCTCATTTTTGACCAGTCCATTCACCCATAGGATGGCTTGGAGATTCTTAGACACTGGGTATTTGGGGGTTTGTCCTGTTGCTTCCAGTGCATATATGAAAGCTGGGAAAACAGCATAGATGTTGAAAATGGCCAGGGCTGCTAATCAGAAGACTGTGAACTTCCTGAGGGTACGAATTCATTCACTGTGCACATCGATAGTATATATACAGTAGTGACTACTCAGACAGTCATTGGTACAGGGTCTGGCACATAGTAAGTGCTTTAAAATGTTTGTTGAATGAATAAATGAATCTTGTTAAATATGCTGCAGATCCTCTGAACCTCTCAACTATCCAGATGGAGATAGACCAAGACCAACAGCCATCAGACTATATCCCCAATAGAAATTAATGGGCATAAAGCAAGGGAATGAGGGTCCTATCAGTCACAGCAAGGAGAGATGGTCATTTGAAGGACTGTGTTTGATCTAGTGGCAGCTTGAGGGCAATACCAGGCTTGCTTCTTTGGTCTAGGCTGCTGGAGCTTTTGGAGCACTGAGAAATGAGACACATAATATCTTTGAGCAGTCCATTTACAACATCAGGCTTCCCTCCATGCTTTGTGGGTAGAACACTAGCTGTTTGGCCTGGTGACCTGTCCAGGTGCATGTATTTACCATGTTTGTGGACCAAGCAAGGAACAGTGTGACATCTACCCAGAGTAAAGGCCGTGCTTGAAATAGTAGAGATGGGGCTGGTGGCTCAGGTTTGCACAGTAAGATTACTGTGGAGAACCTCATTTGATAAGAAGCCTGGACTGTCTCCATAGGTAACAAGGAAGCAGATGTTACAAAATTTCAAAGCAAGGGAACTCCAATACTCTAGTGTATATTTTAGAAACATAACACAGTTGAAATGTATGTAGAATTGGGAAGGAAGAAGATGGAAAGCAGAGAAATCATTAAGAATGCCATTACTATGCCCCAGTAAGCAGGATTTTTCTATTGTCATGTTTGTGGGAATGCAGTTTGGCCCATTATGCCGCTGAATATGCAAACATGGCAGGATTCTTCTATAGTTCCATCATAGTTTAGTAAGTTATGTCGTTAATTATGCCTGTCAATGAATCAACAAATTAAAATTCTGGGATTTTGCCATCTGGCAAAATTTGCATCTCCCCATATTTTGTTCTTTGCCAGAAAGCATGTTTTTGGCTATCTTGCTTTTCTTCTTGTAGAAGTTGAGTTGGAATTACTTAAGAATACAGAAGAACTTTATTGAGAAGCACTAATGAGATGAGGCCCCCAGTGCCTTGAATAAGTTGGTTTATCTATCAGAGCACTGAAATTACACCCGGGGAGGAAGTTAGAACTGGGCTCAACTTCATAGACATCCATAAACACATGGGTTTGGCTGGTCTGAGCTTGGTTACATGAAGCATGAGAACTGTTATTTACTTAGCCTGTTAAAAAGAGAATTCCCCTTTCCTCCTCAGCACCTACCTTTCATCATCCCAATTCCTGGGATTACCTGGGTGCAACCTGAGTTTAGTCAGGGCTAGGTGTGTGGAGCAGCATTTTAAACATGAGTTTGGGGTAGCCTGGGCAGCTCAGTGGATTAGCGCCACCTTTGGCCCAGGGCATGGTCCTGGAGATCAGGATCGAGTCCCACGTTGGGCTCCCTGCATGGAGCCTGCTTCTCCCCCTGCCTCTCTCTGTCTCTCTCTCTCTGTGTCTCTCATGAGTAAATAAATAAAATCTTAAAAAAAAAAACCACATGAGTTTGGACAGAAGAATCTGAGAATGGTGTTCTTAGTGAAAGGAAAGGAAAGTCACCATGTCTCCTTGTGTTTGTTTTCACTCCATGAATCTCTGGTGACACAGCATGGTGATTAAGACATGGAATTTTCTTGTTCTTGGCTGAGGGATCATACCAGCCTTGGCTTACTGCTAAGTTGGAGATCCTGTTTGTGAGAGGAAGCTTATAGTCTTTGATCTAGGCCAGGGGTCAGCATACTTTTCCTGTGAAGGAAGGTGGTAAATATTTTAGACTTATGGTCTAATGGGCCATATGGTCTCTGTCACAACTACTCAACTCTGCTGTTATGGTGAGGAAAGCCACCACACACAATACTCAAGCCAATGAGTGTGTCTCTGCTCCAGTAATAGTTATTTACAAAATAGG